ATGGATTCGATGTTGTGAAATTTTCTTTCTAGCACCCAATGCCATAAAATCAAATATCCAAGTTCTTCAATTAAATTTCAATATCAATTCAAGAATATTTATGAATTTGGAATTTTGAGCAAAATGCATTTCTAGAGGATTATTTCAAGATTGCAAGAACAAAGTGCAACATATTTTTTACTTGCATCACAATTAAAGATTCAAATATCATTCAAGTTTCAATTCTAATTCAAAGATTTCAAATGGTGGATAATGATAATACGATCAAAGTCATGATTATGGATTGAACATGGAAAGGCTAAGTAAAATTCACATGAAAATGGGAAGAAAATGATATTATTAGAGAATGTATCATTACAAGAATATTCGAAATTTCAAATAATCTCCATTTTTGCATTCATACAAATATCCATTCAAATTTCAAAGTTCATCATAAATTCAAGTTCATTCATGAGAAAGTATTTAAGCATACACTTGAATTCAAGGCTCATCCATAAATTTCATGATTCAAAACCATTACACCATTCTTGATTTCATTACAAGATTACATTCAAAAGTACATGAAAACTAAAGTCTAAACCCACACATAAACCCTATTCTAATCAGCCCAAAAACATGTCCAAATTAACCCCACAAGTTGTCAAAATCGTACATTGCATTGCTGCCCAAAACCTGTTACATAAACCTGTCAAACATGTTCACAAATCAGCCCATAAAACTGTCAAAACAGCCTTGCTACCTTGCTGCAAAACAACAGCCTTGGTGTTGTCCCAAAACATACTACTTCCCTGTAAAACCAGCTACACAGTCTGCATAATAATACCAAGGAAGTCAGTCCAAAACCTGCACCAAACAGCCCAAAGTTTGCGTAAATTCAGCAATACAAAAACTGTAACCAAAAAGCACTGAAACAGTGTCTAAAATTGTTCAAATTCATCTCATTTTTCCCTCCCAATTCAACCCCTCATGCTGCTATAAAACCAGAAGACGGTAGAAAGAAAAAAAGAGGAGACAGTGAGACCAGTATACTTACAAAAAAGCTACATAAAGAATTCACTCCAAAAAAAACTTATGTAAAAGAAAACACAAAATTACACTAAAAAGACCTCTCTTTCACTCATATTGTGGCTTGTTGATTCCAAATAACAGTAACAAAAAAACTCAGCAAGTAAAAAAACCAAAAATACAGAAGAGAATGAGTTAGGAGCATCACATTACCTCATCTTTGGTCTTTATTATTTCCTCGTCGGAATTGGTAAATCGTTGGACTGGCTCCAACCATGTAAGTGCTTCCTTATTCTCTCAAAAATTCATTATTGTCATTGTTGTATTACTGTAATTTGTTGTTTTATGCATAAAATGGAATTTTGTTGTTGCTGTACATATGAACAAAGTTGGCAATGAATAAAAATCATAGGGGATTAAATCCGAAAACAAAATAATAGCTCATCATATTTGGTTCAATCTCAATCTTCTATTTACCATAACAGACAGAGATAGAATTTACCTTTTTTATTTCTTTCTTTCTGAGTTTAAGACAGAATACCCAACATCCACCTAGCTCTAATCTTTTCTACTTGATATCTTCATCATTCCAACACCAACAACATCCATTCAGCCTCTCATCATTGTTGTCTCTCCATCTCAGATCTGTATAGCACATGTTGTCAACAAATAATCTCCGCTCAGAATTCATATTCCGCACACGAATTCCCCCCTCTTCCAGGAATACGTTCCTCTGCCTCTATTGTCCATCACACAACCACAACCTTCAGTCCACTTCTTGTCTATTTCACCCATCCAAACTATTTCAAATCAGATGTACTTGTTTCTAAATCATGGCAGCAAGAACAAAAATTTCCTAACTCTGATATGGGGTCAGATTCAGCAAAGATTCAACTGGACATACGGAAGATGCGGGAGCGCGAATTCAACACCAAGAATGTGAGGGAAGGAGATGGAAGCTAGAATGGATTTCCTGTGGCAAAGCAACACTAACCTCGGTTAGAGATTGTACCGAGCCATTTGTGTTCATGGAAGAGAAAGATGATGGTTTAGCAGGGATAATCCGTGAAAAAGAAAGGATAATTTTGTTCTTCTGGCTGTTGTTTCAATTTTTTCTGAACGGTAATTGAATCTAATGGACGTTCCCAATAAACACATTAAATGTCGCATTACTAGGGTTCTCAAAACCCTTCTTTTTCCTCTCCTCAACCGGGTCGCCCTATTGGGCCTGTTGACCCAATCCACTATCAATTTTCATTTTATATTTCATTTAAATTCTAATAATATTGACTGAAGCTGATGGCGTGGTGGTTAAAGTGTGTTGGTTTGGAGGAAAGGTTCCGGGTTCGAGACCCCCTGGGGGCGTTTTTCTTTTTCTTTTTTCTGTTTGCTTCATTCCCTTTTTATTAAACAAAAATAAACTATTGGGCTTCAACTTAATCGACAGCTAATGCCCAGTAATGATTTGCTTGCCAACACTCCCTATTTTCTATTTAAACCCCTCCCTTCTTTCAAATATCATTTTCTTAGTTTATTAGTTTAGACTTTAAAAAATAATAAACTACAAAAACATGTCATTAAGTTTTTTAGAATATCAATTTTGTTTGTATTTTCTTAAAATTCAATAATATAAATTTCAAATTATTTAGTTTACTTTCGTAATTAATATAGTTAGGGATTTTCGTAAATAATTTTATTAACTTTTTCTTTAGTCTTAAATTGTTTGTTTAATTTCTTCATGATAAACAAAATTTCAAAAAAATAATAGAATAGAATTTTATTTTTCCTCACAAACAAAATATCAAAAAATTTATACTTGGTTAATTAATTTTTACTTCATAGACTATTATAGTTTTAATTAATTTGTTCGATTCAATTTGGTTGTATTGATTGCCTATTTTGACTTTTAATCGCATTGATCCATCCCCATTTGTAAATTTGTACCCCTATTCCCGAAAGCTCTGTAATAGCGTAGAATTTTAATTTTCGCAATTTACTGTTTTTCTTTATACTATATAGTAATTAGGCATGTATGACAAGACATAAAATTAATCGCTAGATAACCCTAATCAAAGACAAATTAACTTGAATCAAACAAACTTTTCACACGCGCACCTCTAGGGTAACCTCGCTTGTTGCCTCGGAAAAATAGTCATGTCCCTCGAATATGGGACGCTTTAGCAAAGACCCTTAAATAAAAAAGAATTGTAGTCCCTCGATGTTGCCTTTGATAAAAAGATCTAGTCCCTTACGAGAATTGCTAAAGCGTCTCACAAGTTGCCTTCTTTTATTGTACGATTGACCCGCACTCATCCCTTCACATCCAACGATGGGGCTTCTTACCAAAATAAATGGTAAGATAGAAACATCTAAAGGAGGAGGAAAAGAACATTTAAGACCTTTTGAGTAGGTAGGTTGCTCCTAGTTGCTCGCTTGCTCACCACAAAAAAAACATTTTCTACACCAACACTTTCATCTTGAAACATTTTCAAAAGACAAATCTTTTTGTACGCGTTTTTATAGAGACGAGAACCATTACAAAGGCATTTTTAAAATACTTTCAAAACCCACACCACAAGCACATTTTCAAACAAAAATCAAGTGATCCAGAAAGCAACTAAGAGCCTGTAGATAACTACGGATGAAAAGGGTGCTAACACCTTCCCTTTTCATAACCTACCCCCCGAACTCAATAAATAATCTCGAAAGGTCTTTCCTGTTCTTTTCAACCTTTCCTTATTGGATAAAAGAAAAGTAGGTGACGACTCTTGCTATCCGTGACAATTGCGATCAAACGCAAAACACCCTAGTCAGTTCTCCTACCGCGTTAGAGTTTCAAACTCAATCGACCCCTTAGTTAAGCTACGACAGTATGATTTCCACATGGTCTTCATATATTCATTGTTATTCAACTCAAAAACGTTGTAACCTACCCTTCTGTCAACATCATTGTTCCAGTTTTCACGGTATGAAATCTTCCTCACCATTATGTTATCATGTTCATGAAATAACTCTTCCAACTTTTTCATCAATGACTCGAGGACCAAAAATCCGTCCGAGATCTGAAACTTGACATGATCTTTTTCTCCAGTGAAATACACTTATGCGTTAATCAAAAGTCGAGGAAGAGGCGTTTTGAAAATATGATTTTTTCTAAATAACATATGACCCTTATGTATACTACTATGGATTTATTCTGGATCATTCAAAGCTGTCAGTGCAAGTACAACCATTCAAAATTGTCGGGGCAAGTAGGGGTGTTCAAATCCAAATCAATCCAAATAAAAAATTGAAAACCAATCCAAAAAACCAAAAACCACAAAAAATTGGATGTGTTTGAATGTCATTTTGTGAAAACTGATCGGTTTGGATTAAATTTCAGGTTAATTTTTTAAAACTGATCCAAACTAAGCCGAACCGCATACATATATTTTTATACTTATTTACTTTTTATTAGTATGATATGTTACGTGAATTTATTATTATATGATAATAATGTTTTTAATAATATTTATTAGCTTGGTATAATCTATTTATTTTTATTATTTCAACCATAATCGATCACTCTCATTTTGTAATATTAACTTTTAATATACTATATGTTATATATTATATCAAATCTATGATTTATTAGTAGTTTTATAATATTAATAAAAATATAATGTGTAATTTGGATATCCAAAAATCGATCCAAATTAAATCGCATAAAATTGGATCGGATCAGATTGGATTTTTTTAATATATCATCTAAAACTGAACCGAACCGCAAGTAAATTTATCTTTGGATCAGATGACTTTTTGCCCTAAAACTGATTCAAACCAAATCGCGAACACCCCTAGGTACAAGCACAACCATTCAAAATTGTTGGTGCAATCACAGTCATTCAAAATTGTCGGTCCAATCACATCCATTCAAACATAAATCAATCCAAAATATGAATTCAACATAACTCATAAAGTTAATACATAAGAAAAGTATAAAAAAAAAACATAAATCAACCATAACGAGAAATGCGTAAAGCCTTAAATAAATCAGCAAACTGCAGATCATGTGAGTCATCTTCATTTTGTCGGAGATAACAATGAATCAAAGTGGAGACACGAGCCAATGCAGGATCAGATGGTTCTACTTCATAAGCAGAAATTAGAACCACTCTAATGGAATCACGTGGGGGTGGCACCAACCTAGGATTTGACACACGATTATACCACTCCAGGTATCTATCAACATTATTTTCTGGAACGGTGGCAAGTGATGTCGGATGGATCACTTTGAAGATGCTCGTGTAGTAACCAATCCACTCAAGAGAAATATCATCATCGGACATCATATCACCAGGAGGCGAGGATATAATATACTACATGTATCCAAACTGACTATACATCTGTCAATCAAGTATGGAACTGAAGTGTCACCCCACTGTGAAAACCCATGTACAAACAAATCTCATCAAATAGGTGTCACTCTGTATGATCATCGAATGGGCGTCATATAACGTCTATAGGTGTCAGCTCATCCACCTTTAGGACTCATTGCTTGTACGACCATCTCATAGCTCTAGGAAGTCTGTGATTATCAGATGGTTTCCAATTCTCTCCTCTCTTTCCAAGTGTTGGAAAATACTCATGAATCCAACATTATTACAAAATTAATATTGTTAGTAAACAAATGTAATAAAAATACATCTTTAAAATACAATAAATTTAAATAAATACATGCAGTACAATAGGATATATCCCCCAAACTGCTTGCAGTTGAACATGGATGCGTCTCCAAGATATCTGTAAAGGGTAACCAAAGCAGCTACTCCCCAACAGTAACCTCCAAGGCTCTCTAAGTCCCTAAACAAGAATAAATATTGTGCCTCGACAAGCGTAAAGGTATTGTCAGTAAAAAGGGTGCAACCCACCAACATCATCAGATAGCATCTGGTCACATACGCCCAACGACCAACATCTTGATGCTCCACGAATCTGTCGTATAACCACGCCATATTACAGTAAGTGCCCTTGCAATCACATACATGTCTGGCAAAAGTACCATGTGAAACTCCTAAGTAATCAATAACAAGCTCAATTACAACTTGCTCAATGACATGCTTGGGGATCCACAACCGCCCTTGATGGGCAAGTGTAGCAGACAATCAACATCATCAAGAGTAATAGCCATCTCACCAAATGGCATGTGAAATGGTGATGTCTCTAGATGTAATCTCTCTACAAATGTTGATACAAGGTTCACGTCTATCTTTGTCAGACTGGTCCTCTATAGATAAGTAAGATCAGACCTAGACACGAGATCCTCTATCTCTCGTGGGAGAGCAACATGAACCATTTCCTTAAGCTTTTTCCCATGTCCAACAACTTTCATCTCTTTCTTCGGTACTCTCTTCTGAAAACAAATAAAAAAACACATTTAAAAACAAATAAAAATACATTTAAAAGTAAATAAAAAATTATTTGATATAGATTAAATTTCTTTTACTTACGTCCCTGTACCATACATTTCAAGCCACATGTTGCTCGTACTTCACTATTAGAGACATATTGTAAGACTCTCCTGAAAATTCAGTATTTTATGGAGAAGATAAAGATGCACCAGCAGCCTGTGGAGAGGATGAAGATGCACCTGCACCAATAGTTGAGTGGAAATCTACCGTCTTGGTATAGTGTCCGCATTTTGAAAATAACAAATAATAAGCCAAAAAATAAAATAAATATTAACAAATCAAACCGGAACCCATCCTGAGAGTGTTGTGGTATGCATAAAAGTCAAAGAAACTAGAAGAGATAATGGAAGTGTTCTGATTAAAATAAATACACACCAAATGACTTTTAAAATGTGTTTCAGTATACAATATATAACCAGAGCAGTTTTCAAATGAGTAGAAAATAACACACATGTGATTCCTTTTACAATGTGTTCAGGTTTAATGATCAAAATCGGAAGACTTACCTCAAGTGTTTCGATGTGTGAAATTGTGAACTAGAAGAGATTCAAAAATTGTTTCGAAATATAGTAGATTTGAGAGCATTTTGGAAGCCTTTTTTAGCGTGAAAATAGAAAGTGAAATTTTGTTAGATTTTTACTATTTATATGAAGAGTATTTGTTAGACGATGTGACCGATCTAGAAGGGGGGTTGAATAGATCGTTTAAAAAATTATTTGCGCTTTTTAAAATTGTTTTTCAGAAATATATATGAAAGCTCCCGGAATCTCCATTTGTCTAAATGATCCTCTATTGAAAAGATTGGATATGCGTAACCGTATGGGATATGATGACAAAGTAAGAAACAATATGTTTTACTCAATTGGTCAATCACTTAAACATCCTCAATGAGTATTAATTACTTCCAATGAGTTAATTAAGATAAAGCTAAACACAATGAATAATTTGTTGATGAATCAATTTGTCAAACACCTTATGTGCAAAGCACCTTAGGTTTGATTTTACTAAATTATAGCGGTGAGTTTTCATAGGTATCAATCAAATGGATTGTTACCAATATTGTGAAATGATCTCAACACACCATAATTTCAGTACAAGCAAATTCGACAATTTAATTCTCATAAATTGTAGTAGTCAAGTATGGAAGTAAATAAAAAGAAGAAGAAGAACACACGATTTGTTAAGGCAGTTCCCCTTGCCGTCCTCGCATAGGATACGTCTACTCCCAATTCTAGAATCTAGAATTAAGATATTTGACATTAAGATACAAATTTTACAAGAGAATAGATAGTTCATAATACAAACAAACTAATGTTGCTGATGTAACAGTCTTTTTCCGTTTCCTTGGTTTGAGCCAAACCAAGTGCCAAATTCTCCGAACAAACCTCCGGTTACCGCTACTTGATTTGCACGAACTCTTGTTATGTAATACTTTCACTCGGCTGATTTCAATCGCAAGAAATTTGACCCAAAATCTTTCTTTACAATCCTCTGGTTACCGCTACTTGATTAAGAAAACCCATTGTTTCTTAATCCTTTCACTCGGCTGAATTCAATGAAGAAAAGACTTGTGCAAAAATCCCCGTACCAATTGTAATCTTGGAGGAGAAAATCCAAACGATTTTATTCAAGAACAGCCCACAATTGCTCAACCCAAATCTGAATTGAATCTTTGATTTGAACGTTATCACCATAACACTTTTCTTGAATCAACAACCATGATTATATGTAGATGTTGGTTTTTGAGAAGAGAGGGTGAAGATGATGAGCACTATGTGTATCTTTCACTAGTTCTTGTTAAATACTCAAAAGGAATCAAAACTCTATTTATATGTGTTAGTAAAACAAATAATATTTGAGAAAGAAAGAAAATAAGACAAATAGAATTTTGAGTATGTTAAGTGAGTGATCGACCGCTCTAGAGGCTTGGGTCGGTGCAACACAACCCGCGCCTAAGAGATGAGCCAAACAGCTTAAATGCATCGACCGCACTAGGGGGTTGCATCGACGCAACCTTCAATTTTCTTGACCATCGGGTTGAGTCGACCAAGGGGTCGACGCAACATAACCCGGGAGAAGCACAAAGCTTTGAGTCGACCGAAGCTAATTTGCGTCGATGCAGGCTTTGTTTTTCTTGCCAAAAAGGTTATTTTCATCCAAGCTTGCATCCCATACTTTGTCCCAAGTATATTTTATGTAGCACACATTCCATTGAAGATAGGAGAGGTTTTGACATCATGAAAACATGAATCTTGCCCTCACAGTATTTTTGTCCAAAAAATTCAAATGTTGGGATATGAGTATAATTGTATGGGTAAGAGATTATTCTGGACTTGTCCAATGGCTAGAATTGACCCAATCCACTTTTACTTTCCACAAGGCCCAACCACGTTGGCCTAATAACACCGGACCTCCTATCGGGCATTCCCGATCAACCATGCCCTCTGATCAGCGAGACCACCAATACCTAAAACATGTGTCTACCCATACGGGCGGCCACATCCCAATCTGCTCGACGTACATGGAGAAAACGACCAGGAAAACACTCACAACGCGTTTTACCGTAACCCCTCCCTTGCTCGGAGAAACGGCTAGTTACGAGCACGACTATCCGTTTTGACCAAGTTCTAACAGTTACTTATTTTTGCGGAACTTGATATTTAAGACCAAAAATAGGAACCAATGCCAAGCGTCGAGGGCATTATATAAACCCTCACACTTATGATGGTCAGGTATCCAAGATTCACACTATAAATCCTAATATATTTCTTGTATCTCTTTGCACTCATTCTTACTTGATCGTCAGAGTATACACCCCATTTCTCTTCACAAATTTCCAGCCAAACAGACGTCATTACTTCGGCCCACTTCAGGTTCTAATCAACTGGTAAGATCAATGGCGCCGTCTATGGGAATCTATCTTCCTCATCTTCCTTTTCCCCAAAACTAAAGTCCAAAGATACTTTCACAACTTCTGACATGGCCGACCATGATGACTACCACCTTTTTGGAAAGATTGTTTTCTCCCCCGTCCACAAGACAGACAAAATCCAAGAACATCCTCATCTCGAGGATGCCCCTGATGTTAGAGATGGCCGAACAACGTCCTCAGATTCAGTCAATCTTGAATGCGACAACCTCCTGTTCTTGGACTATCAGAGGTCCAAGAACCCCAACGAAGAACTACCAGAAATCCTCCAGCCAGCTTCTATTCCACCAAATGTTGACCCAACCATGGCAGTGTTGCTCGCTTCCCTAAATCAAACCAACACCCTAATCCTGCAGCAGAGCAACAAAATTAAGGCCAGGGAGAAGAAGCAATCAAAGTCTCTTCCTCAGAGACATCAGCGTTATGACTCCCGCAGTCCATCTCCTCTGAGGTGCGACCGTCTTCATGTACGAGAGAGGCAAGAAGTATCTTTCCTCAAGAAACAAGGTCGCACACCTCCCTAGAGAGATCGACGCTCCCCAATCTCCAAGAAAATAAAGAACGACCAGAGGCTTGATCATGATTGTTCTCCGTCACCCAAGCCAAGACAACATCCAAGTAGCACTTCTCCCTGACGGGACGGCAAACCCCCAACAAGGAAGAAACAACTACTCCCCGCCAGCATCTCTTAATCATTACGATGACGACGAGCTCCGCAACCCGTTACCCAAGGAGATCATGGAGACCCCACTGCATGTCGGTCTTGAGAAACCCTCACACTTAGGGACTTACGATGGCACAACAGATCCGGATGAGCACATCAAAAACATTGATGTGATGCTCGATTGCAGGGGTTGCCGAGGAGCAATCAAATGTCGACTATTCCTAAGAACATCAAAAAGGGAGCTATGGCCTGGTATAAGAGCCTCCTTGACGAGTCCATCACTTCTTGGAAGGGCTTAAGGAGACAATTATCCACGCATTTCACGGCATCTCGCCGCCATACCAAGTCAGAAGTTGCGCTCGAGGCCATCATCTAGGGGAAGGATGAGTCCATTCGAGCATACATTAAAAGGTTCAGCCAGGAAGCCGTCCAAGTCTCTGTGATGGACGAAATGAAAAAATATCTCCTCGAGCGAGGCATATGCCCTCGCAGTGACTTCGCCAAAGCGGTTTGCATAGAGACTCCTACAACGCTGGATTCCCTTTTGCTCAAAGGACAGGTGTACATCCAGTACGAGGAGAAGGAGGCTGTTAATAACGCGGGAGACTCGCGACATCGTGATAATGCAAAAGTCTCAAAGAATGATGAGACATCGACATCCCTTCGGGGAGGAGAAGATAAGAGGGAGGACAAATCCCGTTATTCTAAAAACTACAGGGGGGCCAGTTGGTCGTTTTCATGACTACATTCCCCTCAATGTTGCGCGGATTCTGACAGAATACGCCAACTTGGAGTTCAAGCAAGTCGGGGTATGCTTTCCCCGTCAAACACCGTCTAAACTTGGACGGACAAAACGAAATATTATCGATTTCGCAAAAGTCATAGGCACAATACAGACAACTGCATCCATCTGATGGATGCCATCGAGATACTCATTCAGAATAGACATCTCAAACAGTACAAAAAGAAGGAAGATACTCGCGAAGAAGCCTAGGAATCCAAGAAGGTAGAAGAAGAGAAGCCTTCACCCGACGCGAGCCTCATGCTCGTCGCCTTGAGCATCACCAAGCCCGATGACTTCTACTTCCCTTTCGCAACCTATTGCCCTTGAGAGACATTTTCAGCGGGATGGTTATATCCAGCGGGAATTCAACAAGTGTACGGTGGGTCCGACCAAAAAAATATTCGAGCAACTCATGGATGATAACTCCGAAAAGAGTGTCGTCCTTGATAAAGTCAGAGTGTCTTGCAGATACACCCCCTCCTCTCCATAAATTTCCAACCAAATATACGTCATCATTTCAACCCATTTCAAATTCTAATCAACCGATAAGATCAAAGATAAAATTTTCAAAGAACCTTATTGATCTACCTTCTAAAGGATCATTCTTTACATGTTCCAATGGCGGACATGGTAGTGGTTTAGTGGGAATAAATTTGGACACACTTTTTTGCACTCAGACTTTGCTATTTTCTTGTGCTTCTGCGTCAGTTTCAACCCATACCTAAAATAAGATCTGATCACTTCCCCATTTTTTTTGATACAAGCTCCAACTCATCCCCATTTTGTTTGATACAAGCTCCAACTATACAAATTTGTCTCAGATTAAATTTCTCAACCGTTGAACAACATTTGTGGTTGGATGTCCAATGTTTATCCTCAAAAAGCTTAATATGCTTAAGACTAATATTAAAACTTAGAACAAGGAAGTTTTGGTGACATTCACAAACTAGTTAAAACTTCTAACGAATCTTTTGCCATAATTCAGGATCAGATCAAGTATGAATATGATGGAAGCAATGATACATTGAGAGCTCAAGAGAAGGTGGCTCAACCTGAATTTAGAAAAAGCTTTGGCCAAAGAAGAGTTCTTTTAGCAGGAAAAACCCAAAATCAATTGGCATATGGATGGTGATAGGAAAACCATAAACTGATTTCATAACTGGTTGCATAACTGATTTCTGCATACAAAATACATAGAGATTGCATTTCAAATCACATATAAAAGTAAAAGGTTGAAAAGCCAACAACAATAACCACAAACCCAGTGGCTTAAAAACCATAAACCCATATCAATGAAACAACCCTTCTTCCTTCCATTCAATGAAATAATACTCCACACTTTCACTTCGACTAATTATAATAATGATTCTAATTTCCTAATTTTTATCACCACCGCCCCCTCCACCCATATTACTTCCACCAGCCCGTTGGCCAGCTTTCCTCGCCGCTTTCTCTTGTAAAGCTTTCGCATCCCTACACATCACCAACAAACAAATAATTACCAATATACCCCCACACTTATCATTACAAAATAAACCATCAAACACACAAACAAACAAAAAAAAAACCTTTCTCTTCGTTGTTCTGGCGTCAATCCATCACTTTTTCCTTGCTTAGATTTGCTATTAGCTCTAGCTTGAGCCCTTTCACGATCCTTTTCTCTTTGATTCCCGCGTTCGCTTCAGTTAAGTCCAAACAAAACCAATTTCATATCATAATAAAAAAAAACTCACAAAACCCTAAAAATTACAATAATTCAAAAAAAAATCCGCCAGAACAATGATAAAGGATATGAGACATTATGAACTGATCGAACGGTCTGGAAGAAGAAGAAAGCGAGAGCGTAAATTAAAGGCCCTGGATAACAGAAATTGAAAAGCATTGCGATAAGCGAAATGCGTAATTGAAAAAAAATTAGGGTTTGATTAGAGAGAAAAAACGAGAGAATGGGGGAAAATGTACCTGTAGAACAGAAGAATTATGTTAAGTAGAAAAGAAGGATCGAGAAGGATTGAAATTTGTTGAGATTGAAGAGAAGGGGGAGGAGAGGTCTCTAAAATATACTGCAAGAGTAGAAGAGTCTAGAGACAGAATAAAATTATTATTTTTAGAATTATTATTTCTTATTTTATTTTTAGAATAGAATAACCTAATAATAACCAATAAAAAATTGAATAGAATAGAATAAAATAAAAGAATAACTAAAAGTGAAATGACACCTCAACTTATGATAGATTAACCAACTAATTGATGGTTTGAATTATGACATGTGGCAATAAAATTACACGCTATTTCCGACTATATCTCATCAAATAAATAAATTAATTAGTCAAATATCAATGATAAAAATTTTTAATATGATATAAATTTTATTTAAATTTAAATGTAAATTTAAAATAAATTATTTAACTATAAAATAAATTAATAATACAAACTCAATTGGATTGTAATAATTGAAATTTTTTTAGCAATAATAAAATATTTAAAAAAATACACAAATAACTATGTTTCAATGAAAATTACGTAAATAACTATGTTTCATAAAACACTTAAACAGAGGAGTCAGCTCAGATGGTGCATCTTCTTTATTTTTATATAGAGGCGCCAAATGAGATGACACATAGGTGTAACGTGTTTGTCCTAGGCCATCTCAGATGACGCCTAAGTGCTTTTAACTTCCAATTTTTTTTCCTTTCTATATTAAATAAGAGACAATAAGTAAACGATATAGCTTAATGAAATTTTGATTTTTCAATAACAAATGAATGATTACATAATGAAAAAAACTGTTGCATATTATTTAGTTGTCCCCCGAAATTTGGTAACGACCAGTGGTTCCGCACCCGCGTTCTCGCCTATCTCGTGGTGGGTTTCGTCGATTTTCCTGTTACGGTTAGATCGATGGCCCAGCGAAGTCAATGCGTTCAGGATCCATGAAATCTACCAGATCACCATATCTGGAAGATCGGCTTTGGTACAGTCGGTTACCCATGCCCTTAAAATTTGGTCGTCTTGGTGGGAGATGGGGTTCCATGGATGGTCGATAGCACTGGTCGTCTGAGTAATGGGGTAAAAAGGAAATGAATCTTAGGGTGTTTGGTATTGCAATTGTTGGGTGTTATGGTGATGTGGTGGTTGATGGTAAGTTGGGTCGAATGGGTCATATTCTTCAGGAATGCCTAGAGTTTGGCTAAGGTGAGATGATGAGGGGCCCACATCGGGATATTTAGAATACTGGAATTGTGTGTGTAGCATGTGGTTGTATTGGTATTGAGATTGGGATTGGGGTTGGGTGTCGGGCACATGGGTGTATTGATATTGAAGTGGTGATTATGGTTGGGTGTTTGTGGATCTGTACCGTCGTGGTGTTTCGTGGAAGGTTGATGTGTGTTGGGTTTGTTGTTGGGGATTTGAGGGTTGTGCCCATTGTGTTCATGGATCGATCAAATACCTCAGATGAGACACGTGCATTTTTGGGTTAGTAATCGATTTGTACCAATCAAAATATTAATCTGTGTGTCGCATATTATTCTGGTTGAGGAAAACAGGAAATTGTAAGACATGTTGGTGACACTTTTGCCACATCTTACACCATTCTGGAGTAAAATCTTTCCAATTAGTAAGACCCCTATGGGCGTCGAACCTTTTGAGATGCCAGGGTGACAAACAAGTTGGATCGCATAGTATCTCTTGATGCATTCTGAACTGCATCTTGACACGGTCGTTGTGATGCATCTTCACAATGTTGAATCGTATGATTGAAGTCTTTGCAGTCCAAATTATTGCATCATCGGGGTTGAGTTTATGGTCTAAACCCAAATATAGTCTCCAGATAAACTGTGGATAAAAATTAATAAGAATAATGAAAACGTAAAAAATAAATAATTTAAAAGTAGAAAAGTTCAAAGATACCACATACATCATCCGGGTTGTTCTAGACTGGGCATGCCCTTGGCCCAACTTCCAATGAGGCCTAATCCAAGCGTGCCAACCTACTGCGCTGATCGGTATTTTCCCCGAACACACCCTGACCACAAAGGCCTTGTCGACCAAGACTGCTTCCCGTTGGTGCTCGCGGGGACCATCCCTGGCGAGCAAGCGCTCCTCCCGAGCACCTTCCTCGTAGGGATGACTTCCAACCTCTCTGGATATTACGGAGTCTTCGTGGTTCCAGAAAGATTGTGTCCATATCCTTCTGGTCTTGCGGAGGACGTCATCCAGGTAGGGGACCACGTGCGGGTCCCTACTACTCATGTAGAACCTGGCAGTGCTTGTTTGATCAGCCCAATAAAGAGACCTTTGCCCAGTGCTAAGGGCTATAAATACCCTATCTCCCAAGAGGGTCAGGGATTCAACATCTTTCTCTGAAATCATACTTTCTTACTCATTCCGTAACTTACTTTGCCATCAGAGTGTCTTGTAGGTACCCCCCCCCCCCCCATCTCATTCAACTTCTACCCGAGCTAGTTGTGACGGTCCATTTCTGAACCGGTAAGATCAGTGGCACCGTCTGTGGGAAACTTGCTTCCCTGTCTTCTATTTACTTGAGACTAAAGCTAAATAATCCCCGACTGTCATGGCTGACCAGACTCCAGAAAACATGAACGTCCATATCATCAACATCAACAACAACAACATCGCCGACAATAATTCCAGCCTCGACAATGCCGGTACCATCGTCCATAACACAGCCCCCAGCATTAATATGCCCAGGCCTTCTGACTATAGAGACAGAGCAACTGCTTCATCATCATCACTGCCTCTTCGACTCGAAGATGATCGGCCACCTCCCCAGAACTACCAACAGGTCCAGTTCCATGAGGTCCCTATTCCCGCCGGGGCTGACGCCACAACTTGGGCATTGTTCGCGATGATAACTCAGACCAACTACCTGATCTTCGCTCAGGGAGAAAGATTGAGGGCACTCGAAGACGACTGGAGAGCCCCAAAAAGACACAGGAGACCTTAATCTCCTCCTCCTCGACAAGAAGAAGAACATTCCAAATCTCCCCCGCAGAGACGTAGTCGGGACATCTCTCGAAGCCCTTCTCCCTGACCAATCGGGCGACGCATCGCATTAGAAAGGGACCAGCCCGTTGATACGGGGAGACGCGATCACGACCCCTCGTGTCAAGAACGAAGACCCCCTGGAGACAGAAATGGGGGAAATAACAAACGACCATACCGCCCGAGGATCGCTCCGTGCGACCAGGGCCACCATAACCGCCACTATGTCAGATATCCGTCTCGCTCACCCGAATGGAGTGACGAGGACGACCCCATCAGTCCCTTGCCACAAGCTATCATGGAGGCACCCATTCCCCCGGGCATGGAGAAGCCTCCCCACCTAAAGGAATATGACGGCATCAGCGACTCGGTCGACCATATAGACGGGTTTGAGGCCATGCTACACTATCACAATGTCGGGGGATCGATCAAATGTCGATTGTTCCCCACGACTGTGAGGAAAGCTGTGATGGACTGGTACAAAGGTCTCGCCCCATAGTCAATTACCTCTTGGCGAAATCTGAAGAACCAATTCATCAGTTCATTCACTGCTTCGCTACGACACCCGAAGACCGAAGCAGCCCTCGAGGCCATCGTCCAGAGACACGATGAGACCCTGAGAGAATTTATTGATCGGTTCAACCGGGAGGCCATCCAGGTCACATGTATGAATCACATGAAGAGATACCTGCTTGAGAGGGGACTCCTCCCGGGCACG